AATTTGTATAATGCTGGGTTCCCATTGCTTGTAGGTGCTGGCAAACCCAAAGGGACCTTCGACCCAAATCTGCCCCAGCTGCATTAACATTCCTCAGACGTCTGATTTCCATGGGGACTGCAGGGTCTGACTGGGCTCCTGTTCACTCCGCCCCCGTGGGCTTCTCACTGGGCACGGACCCCACATTGCGGGTCCTTCCCATGGCCAGGATTACCGTACCTTTACCCAGGACCTCGGCAATCTCTCCAGGAACCTGGAGCCAGGACCTCACACGCCGCTGATAGAGCTCCACGGGAGAGACTCGTCTGGACATAAATAAACACGATCAATAAAAAATCAAGTAATAGCCGAATCAGAATACTCCAAAAACGCAAGATGACTGGTGTCAGTTTTGGATGGGACTGTTCCACATGGCGACCGTGGGTAACATTTAGAGAAGCTAACTAGTTAGCTTTGCTGCTAAGTAACTGTAGGCAAGTTATCTGGCTTTCAGTCTACAGACAGTCTCTGAGATTGTGCTTGTTGCGAACCCTATCGAGATGAAGTGCCGCGCAGTTGTTTGTGATGGGGCAAGTAAGACCCGCAGTGCAACTGTGGGACTATTTCGGCGGCCATGCATCGGAATGAACTGTGAGGCTAAACTCAGCGCGAGATTTTCTTTAAAAAGACCCCGTAGCAGATATGCTGTTAGTCAAGGGCAAACTGGAGACCTGCAGGTGTGTCACTGAAGGGTAGACTCTCCGCTGTTCCATTCATCACATTCCAGGCGGATATCTAGCTGTTTAAATGATGAACTGGAGTCACTCAGAAGAGGATTACCTAGACAAAAATAACAATAGTTCAAATTCTATCTTTAAGTGTAGTAGTCAAGTGAACTACAGCAGATCAAAACAAGAAGAGAGCATACAATGAGGTACAGGGCATTGTATGTTTAAAACCAAACCAGATGCATTGTAGTTTGACCATAATTCTGGAGTGATGCTGGACTGCAGCCCTTGGATTACAACAGCTGGAATTTTCCTTACATCCAATGGACTCGGACTCACATGCAGGAACAGACGCTGCACAGATGTACAACATTTTCGTCATGATTTCAGTAAAGCAGCATGCTTCAGAAAGTCACACCACCCGTGATGTGATTCTGAAGAGAAGCCTACGTCGATGACATAATTTGATATTGGGGGGCACACAACTTAATAATTCAAAAGCCAAGGTGTATTTATGGGGGGATTAATGAAGATAAAAATTAAAAGTGTGGGGTACACACCCTCCGGACCCACCCTGTCCGCGTTCCCCCTGGTCCCAACGCCACGTGAGTTTTTATCACATCGGAAGCAGATGTAGATGTTGAATACTCCTGAGATCAAACTCAGCACCACAAGCAGGGAGCTATAATGAGGTAGCAATAAAAGAACTTTAAAGACTGTTATCTAGCATCGAATACACTATCGATTGTCACATGAATGGCACCTGGTTCCCCTTCTAAATAAGACACATGGAAACTCAAACAATATCCCCAAAGGACAGGTGTAAGTGAAATGAGCCAAGTCATAATAGTGAAACGTCATAGTCCCTTCACCACACATAGCTAAATGTAGTTAAACAAGACATTTTCATAAGACTCACTGGCAAATCCCAGTGAATATTCTGCAGTTCAAAAAACATCCAGTAGGGGGCAGCACGAAAGGATGATAGATGGGCCGAAAGTCCTATGGATTAAAAGGCTCACCGTTTTCCTAGAATCAGTACAGTTAATCCTGGAGGCCGATGGGGGCTGAGCGAGATGAGATAAAATGCTGCACCAATGAATCAGACATACCGCAAATAGCATATGGTGCATATACACACTGATCAGCCATATAACATTAACACCACTGACAGGTGAAGTGAATAACATTTATTATCTCGTTACAATGGCACCTGTCATGGGTGCCATTATATATTAGGCAAGTGAACAGTCAGTTCTTGATTTTGATGTGTAGGAAGCAGTAAAAATGGGCAAGTGTAAGGATCTGTGTGACTATGAGAAGGACTGAATTGTGATGGCTAGACAACTGGGTCAGAGCATCTCCAAAACAGCAGGTCTTGTGGGGTGTTCCCAGTATGCAGTGGTCAGTACCTACCAACAGTGGGCCAAGGAAGGCTAACCAGTGAACCGGCGACGGGATCATGGTCGCTCGAGGATCATTGATGCACATGGGGAGCGAAGGCTAACCTGCCTGGTCTGATCCCACAGGAGAGCTACTGCAGCACAAATTGCTGAGAAAGTTAATGCTGGCTGTGATAGAAAGGCGTCAGAACACACAGTGCATCACTGCTTGCTGTGTATGGGGCTGTTTAGCTGCAGACCGGTCAGGGTGCCCATACTGACCCCTGTCTACCACTGAAAGTGCCTACGATGGACATGTGAGCGGCAGAACTGGACGATGGATCGATGGAGGAAGGTGGCCTGGTCTGATGAGTCACATATTGTGTTATATCATGTGGACAGCTGGGTGCACGTGTGTCATTTCCTTGGGGAAGAGAACAGCACCAGGATGTACTATGGAAAGAAGGTAAACCGGTGGAAGCAGTGTCATGCTCTGGGCAATGTTCTGCATCTGCTGCTAACATCTAGGTGCTAGAAACCACAGGACACCTTCAGACGTCTAGTGGAGTTCATACCAGGTCAGAGCTGTTTTGACAGCATGAGGAGGACCTACACAATATTAGGCAGGTGGTCTTAATGTTATGGGTGATCTGTGAATATGTAACTGCTGTTGAGATATACTGCAGCTTTGCCGTGTGAGACAATTTGCAGGCACTAATAACAGAAGTACAGCTTAAGAGCCCTGATTCAGCACTGAAAAATAGGACATCATGAAATTAGATTGCCGATAATTACGGCAGACGAGTCTGCACCTGAAGCCAGCATCGGGCGGTCAACACCTGAGGAGCTTGTAGGGGCCAAAGCCACCTCTGACCTTCCGGGCCACGTTATATAACATCACAAGTGATGGAGCAAAGTACACCAGTTCTTATTTTCACACCTTGGTAGCTATGTAGCAGCAGTAATCATAGTAGAGGAACACAGCCAGGAGTATTATGGAGTACCGAAACATCCGGCTGCCGGGAAACTGCAGATCTTGCAAATAAACAAGCATGCCAGGTACTGTGCAGCTTCTCAAGATGCCCGTCATTATGTGAGAAGTCTTTAAATTTACATCGACTCAGCTCTGATTTTTTACAGATTCCTGCAGTGGCTTGGAACTGGGGGGGGTATGTACCCCCTCCCCATATTTAATTTGGCTTCATTACTCCCTATTGTCCTCTGCAATATCACACACTCTCCTACGACCTTAGTGTCCAGGATTTCTATGGATTTTCACCTACGATTTTGCAGCTGCTGCAGAACTGAGAGTTAATGGCTTTTTTACATAGTGCACCTAAAAAGTACCTAAAGCAACAGCAAACATGCTCTTGTGGACTCAGAGGTCGTGTTCCTTGGCTTTATCTGACTATTCGGTCCAGATGGTTGATATGCTGGCGTCAGTCACCTGACATGCACCGTGAAAAACCCCCCCTTCCTGCTCACCTGCCAATCTCATGCTGGCGGGATAGTGCCGATGTGTGGCTCATAGGACGCTGTTCCTTTGACTGGAAGGTCATTGGTTTAAATTTCACCATCGGGCCCCTTACCCCGAATACTCCAGGGCCTGACCGACTCCGCTTTGAAAAAAGGGGTCTGCCAAATGCAAGACATTAGTCCCGGTTCTGTTGAGCAACCTGGGCTCCATTCTGAGATCCCAAAGAAAACCCAACGCTCTATCCGGGGGGACTAGCATCGAGGTAACCATGCCACAATTACACAATCCCACTGGCTGCTTCCGGAATTCCCCTGGGGTATGGAGCAGAGGGTGGTTCAGTGTTCACAGCACCCCTGAGACCATGGGAAGGATGACTTGGCTGGTGCCAATTACATACATAATGTAGTTTCATATGCAAGTATAACTAGTAAACAGGTAGCTTCAGTGTTCATTCATCCTGCAAAAACGTCACCTGGCAGATTGGAATAAGCAAAGGATTCAATAGACAAGCAGCCCGCCTTCCAAAGACCTGATGTATTATATCTATTAAGGCCATACTAGCTATAAACACACACACACACACACACACACACACACACACACAGTTACCTTTAAGTTAACAGCAGAGTATGAGAAATACAAGACCAGTGATGCAAATGAAAATGAGTCAAATCAACACATTTATTACGCAAAATTATGTACATATACACAATTACAAACTGTATAAAGCTTACACACATTCCTGTCTGGGTGCATGAGAGACTGAGGATACATGACCAACAGATTACATAAACTATCACGTTATCACATCGGTTATCAGTACCAAAAAAACCATTACATGTAGGTGTAATCTGGGAATTAGAAAAAAAACTATTTATATAACTGAGCTGGATCAGAAAGTTAAATGTAACTTCTTAGCAAAGTATGTTAAAGCTGAAGGCAAGTACATATTTATATAACAGGTTATAACTTATGTATAAAAATACTCATAAAATAATAAAATAGTATTCTCGGTTGACTTCATGAGTTGTTCACATTCTGACAGAGAAATTAAAAGTGCTCACATTAATTTAAGAAAATTGATAAATTCCTGAAGTCACACCGGATAGCACATAGATCCTCACGTGTCACAGCACCTGGTCAGACATACCGCACAGTAACACGGTAAACCCAAGTGATGTTGATATGTCTGATAAGAAAGATTCAAAGCTTTAAAAAAAAAGATAGAAAACTACATAGAACGAATATTTAAAAAAAGGATACTTTTTACTTTCAGCTACAGTATAACTGGCAAATTGTTGCCTGTGAAGTAATGAAATAAAACATCAAAACCTTGTGCATCACTTGGAGGAAAGCAGAGGCTTCCTGCCCTGACGTGAAAATAAAAATGTCCAGAAAGTGCTTCTTGGCTGATGACTGATGCGAATTCCGCAAAACAGCAAACCGGGTTCATGATGCGTCAGCGTGGTGCCACATCTGCTCACTCCAGGACTCTTTCCGCCATCATCACCTCACCAGATCATCTCCGAGGTCACGCTCGGATTTGATTGGCTGCGTGCGGATGACACATCCAGCCTTGGCTGGTCACTGTGACACGTTTCAGATGGTTGACATTGACGACCCCTCCGGTCTACCTTCACGGACTTGTACCGCCGATGTCAGAAGAAGTGTTACCACAAAATAGATCATTCCAGAACATTAAAAAAACACATGAGGAGGTGACTCTCCTTCAGAAGCAAATAGAGTATCTTTAATACTCCTTGGGGATGGAGGCCGTTTCACAGTAAGAGTCTGTGCAGCACACAAATTCTTAGTCCCCATGCCCCTCCGTGTCTGCAGCCTGCTCGGTCCTGGGCTTTAATGACCGTTTGTGCCGGGAGGGTTGTGGATCCAGTCCAGAACAATCAGGCTCAAACTTCCCATCATGAAGATCAAGCCCATTATAAGAAATATGGTGGCCTGTGCAGGACAAACAGAGAAGGTGTACAATCTGGGCTCGACCGCTACGCGTCACCACGCGTGTGACAACTGCTTTGCTAAAAACTCAACGCCATTTCTTGACTATTGACCCCCCACCCCCGCAGCCCACTTACTAAGATCTTCTGAGGTGACCGGAAGGAGAGGGACTTGACGAGCCGGAGGTAGAAGGCAGATGGCATGATGAATATCAACATGGTGGCAGCAGTGGCTCCTGGGGGGACAGAGGTGCATTTAGGGAGGCATATGTCTTTAAATATGCAGAGATATATAAATACAAACTATATAGTCTAGTCAGGCTATGCCTTGTGAATATATGAAAACAGTAGTGGTTGGCCTGCAGTGTTTGCCAAGTCAGGACGTCTAACATCAACAAGGCTTTCATACAGCCATTTGCTGATCCATCCATCTTCTAACTGCCCATCCTGTCAGGGTCACAGAGGGCCTGGAGCCCATTTCTGGGCCCATGGCTGGAGTACACCCTGGATGGGAGATCAGTCCCTCACAGGGCACAAACATGTATACACTATGGGCAATTTCAATATGCCTATCAGGCTAACTGCACGTGTTTGAACTGCAGGAGTAAACCAGAGGACTTGGGGAGAACATGCAACCTACAGACATGGAACGGAGGTGGGGTTTAAACCTCAGACACTGGAGACATGAAGCAAGAATGCTACATGCAGAGCCAAATTAACACCAAAATCAACACTGACAACTGATACAGATAAAGGCTGGCAGTAAGAATAAGGGGCTTTTGTTGCCAGTTGGCCACAACTCACCGATGAAGCCAAAGATGTCTCTAATGCTGGGGACGAAAATCACCAGGAGGTTGTTGAACGTCAGGATGGCGGCGGCGATGAGAATGTGCCGGATCCAGCTGAACCGCTTGCCGGTGAAGAACAGGGTTACGATAGAGGAGCGAATCTGAAACACAGGGACAAGAAAAGGGAAAAAACCTCGGCGATTCATTATTAATGTTAAGGCTGCGCTCTCATACAGTGAAGGCTGAACTCCACTCTGCAAATGACGCTCACTTTCTGCACTTAAGTGCCATTTAACAGGAGGAAGCCGCTTTTACTGTAGTGGGGCGGCTATCCAGCATGCCCCAGTCCAGCTGAACCGCTCTCCTGATGCTGTACCATCCCTCAGAGACTGCAGCACCTGCCACGGGCGCACCCCCCCCCAACCCCCACCCTCCCTGCCGCCAATGCTGCACCCCACCCACCCCGTTCCAGCTGGCACTGCATCTTTGAGGGTGTTGGCGCACGAGTCAGGTGGGGTTGGGGGTGGGGGGGGAGGGTCACAATGGGGATTCTTTCAACTGTCAGCTTGCTCTTTTGAGTTGGCCTGGGCACTGCTGCGTCATGCTGCGGGTCTAACAAGCAGTACCGTCCTCCAGTAACACTCAAGTTAATGCATGGCTATATAGTGCCCTCTGCAGGCCAAACACTGCTATTTCACATATTCACAAGGAACAGCCTGACGAAACCTATACAACCGTAAAGTAAATTGTTCCCACTTACACTGATCCATAGGTGTTACTTGTATATCTCTCCATATTTATATATATGCACACAAATACAGATGCAGGTGAGTAAGGGAATGTAAGCACATAAATGCATATAGAAAATTCATAAATATACTACAATTTGACAATAAAAGGCCTCTGATAATGCTGGGGAATGGCAGAGGTGCTCAAAAGCTGTTCTGTTTGTCAGGCCATCAGTGATTGGTTTATGCATATGGGGGCGGGGATAGCGCAGCGGTCATGGCAACAAGGAGACAGTCTTAAGAAATTGAGGTAGAATAAGCACATATAAACAAGTGAAAGACGCTGGCAGACATACATGGGCTTACATATGTGTAAATTCACAGGCTCTGAGGCATGATGACAGGTGTGCAGCGCGACGCATCGCAGTACAGGCAGCGTGTAGAGAGCGGGTCACTCACGGGGAAGAGCACGATGGGCACGGTGAGTGTGACGGCCATCAGCACCGCTACCCGCACCATGAGCAGAAGTGTGTCGAAGCGGTACACCTTCGTGAACGTGTGCAATAGCTCAGGCTCTACATTCTCTGCAGGGGATGGAGAGACGAGGATAAGGTCTCCTGAGCAGGAAGTCATGACAAGACCACCAAACCCGACATCATCATGCCAATGGTACACGTCTATCACAAATTTACTGAAATAAAAATATTTCTGCACTGTTTGATGCTTCTAATGGGTATTTAACTTAGAAACATAGCAATGTCCATGACCACGTTCCTACTGTAGGCCTTCAGCTGATCCGAGAGCTTACGCCTCGTACCGTAGAAGGTGAGGTAGCCGAACAGCGCAGACATCATGTACATGACGAGCATGGCTAAGATGGATAGGTTGGACACACGCTGCATCTTCCGACGGGAGCGCCTGGGGGTGGGGGTGGGGTAGGTTAAAACAAACAAACCAACAAACAAACAAACAAACAAACAAATCATGGTCAGACCTACAGCTCCCGCCACCAGGCCCACGGATGCCCTTACTCCTTTAGCTCGCTGTAGATTGGCAGCACCTCCGGGTGGCATACGAAGGCAAAAGCCAGGATGGGCACCGTGTACACCGTCTGCAAACGGACAGGGACGATTCATTACGGTGATGGTCGGGATGCGCGTACAGCGACCTACACACTACTCAGAACACCACCACCCCCGCCTCACCTGAGAGTTAAACACAAAGTACTTGGGTGTGCACATGTCATTGGACCCGTACTCTTCATAGTGCACCTCTGAGACATGGTCACTGGGCAGGCTGGGTGGGGCTGGGGGCATGGGCAGGTCAGCCCGAGCGAAGCCCACCTCCCCCGAGGCATTGGGGAGGAGGTGTGGTAACATCAAAGACCCATTCAGACTATGGTTAGAGGAGTGATGGTCAAGGATGGGCAGCGGGCAGGGGACCTGAGTCTTCTTATACATCAACTGCAACACACACATAAAAATGGCAGGCCATTGGTTATTAATTCATTATTCATTACTGGCCCAGTAGAAACCCTTACTGGAAGAAACCCATTTGGTGATCTTGATATTTTTGTAATGCTTCTCAAAGAATCAACCTCTGATCAGTTGAGGCTCCAACATCGCATGCGGCCCAATTAATAGAAGCGCCCCAAGTTGTCCGTAACCCAAGCTGACCAAACTCACCACTGCCAAGAAGAACACCATGCAGGAGAGGGAAAATCCACTGGTGTAGCCAAGGTAGCCTGTGGACGAGGTAGGTACAAGTCAACAGAAGAGCACCAGGAAGGCAGAGCACAGAGTCTGGCAGGGCTACTGGCCATCTTACCCAGGCTTTTGAGGAGGGACAGGGGCATAATGATGCCCATGGACACAAACACCACCAGGTAGTTTCCATTCAGGTACCATTCCCTGGGGGGGGAGGCAAGAGCAGACAACTAAGTCGGGATGAGTAGAGAATTGTGTCTACACTGGGACTGGGGGCGGGGCTTCAACAGAGAGACAACAGCGAGCGGGGCCAAGATGTACAGGGCGACCAACCAACCCAGAGATCTCCTCCAGGCCCATAAATGCACGGATCACCTCAGGCAGCTCGTACTTCACTATGAAGAGGTAGCTGGACATAGCTAACAGGAGACAAAAATGGATGTATGAGACCCAGGGACGGCAGACATCACCCAGCCCAAGGGTGGTCAATCAAAATGCCCAACGATTCACATTAATTACAAACAGGATGCTTAGTACTAAAAGCTATACTGTGTCTACAAATTATGGCGAAGCATTAATATTAGTCCACCTCTAGTTACCAAATGTTACCTCCAATGTTTTGCAGAGTTATTGAGCCAAAGGCCACCATTTTGCCTGGCCAACCAAAAGCTCTCTCGCCCAGAGTCTCGTATATCAGGGAACCTGCAGACACAGAGCACAAGCACAGAGCTGACACTTTGAGCACCGGGTCGCGCATCTGCAAATTCAGCTGGCCGCCCATGCAAATGGGACACTCACGTCCTTCCTTTGCCGTCATCAGCAGGAGATGGATAGAGTACAGGGAAAGGATCGCCACACTCAAGAGTAGGATTCTGCAATGAAGCCAGATAGAAGAGTTACAGTGAACGCAGACCATGGTCTGTTTTCTGGAAGCCTGGTATTTGGGGAACTCCATAAAAGCCAGAGCTTTCTAGACCACTTAAGCTATGACTGAACTGCATCTACATATCTATAATTCACAAAGTTTCCTGAATGTCAATCCAATGAGCAGACGCACGTGTAGTACTATGAGAAGCAAGAGCCAATCAGCAGAAGCATGTTGAGCTATTGGCTCATCAGGAGAACAGAAGTATGCTAAATTCAGATCTCACAGAAATACTTTAGCCAAAACATCTGCATGGTACTTAGTAAGAGTATCTCTTGCGGATCCCTTCCAGGATTTTAACCTAATATGGGATTAATCTTACTCTGTTGAGCATGGTCTTGGGCTGGAGCTGGTTCTGTCAATCAAACTTAACACTGGGTCTGCTGTAACAAACCCCCCTCCACACACACACCTAGTACCACCACTTTCATAGCTACTGCGACATTGCAAGTGTAGCTAGACATAGTAGAACTTTGCCCTGGGCTATTCAACTTCTGGAATGAGTCCCAGAATAGCCCCGTGTGTCACGAAGAGGTTGTAATGTGATGAATTACTGTAAGGTCAAGTTCAAACTGACCAATGAGAAGGTGCTCTGCCTGGACTGGATAACCACAGCCCTGAAGTATCATACACAGGCTAACCCTATTACTCATTTGTGTGTTCAAGCCAACCAGCATACAAGGATAGCCCCAATACCAACTAGTAAACAAGTGCTATAGTCTTCAAGAAATAGGTCCACAGAGCAGTATAACTCCTCTCTCCTCATTGAGATCACCCAGACACAAAGAATAATTTGCCTTATGATCTTTAAGGCCAATCCATGCTGCCCATCACAAATACTCACATGAAGAGCAGGATGCCCGTGTTGGCCATGGCATAGGAGAGGCCCAGGATCCCGCTGCCCATGATGGCATTGCTGAGGTTAAATACTGACATCCCAAAGGAAGCGTGGCCAGGATGCTTCACACAGACACACACATAGTGTAGAGGCGTTATTCCAAATAAACGACACCGGTCTGAGGATTAAACATAAGTTTTATAATCCAAAGAGGTAGATGCTTACATATTCCTCATGGGAGGCTTCGTATTTTTTATTTGTAACTCCATTCGGAAGAAACCTTTGACTCTCTGCGCCTTCATCACAAAATTGGCTAGACAGTAGAGGGGATTGTTAGCCTTTATTATGCATAGGTAGGTGCGCACCGCAGCGCATCAAACAATCCGCACTTCACTCACAGAACATACCATGTGTACATTTCATACCACTAAAGACCCAAATTGTCTATACTGCAGCCCAATGAATGATTGGATGTTATCAAGATACCAAAGTTGTGTCAATAACACTCATGGCATAGGACTGACCTGTTGATGGTTGCCTTTTCACACTCGAAAGGTTCAGTGTATTGACCGCTCAGACTGTCGTTGCTGCTGTCATCCACTTCATTTGGGATCTTCTGCAGCTCCATGCGGTCCATGGCTACAGCTACTAAGAGGTCCTTACGCAAGGCGACCAAGTGAGAAAGCCAGCGGACCGTTTACCTTGCCTTTGCAACTCTGCGTTCTGCAAAACAGAGAGGAACAATTATCTGGGTATTCTACCAGGACGGGTGCTGAAGGCCGGTTTAGGTGTAGTTTGAAAGGCTGGTGGATATCAGCCAGCTTGACCTTCTGTCAATTAATCCTGCGCTTGCAGCCCTACAACATGGCAGCAGGTTCCAGGACTGCATGTGAAATTTCAGTGCTACACAGTTACAGTTATAATACTCAAAAGAACTAAATGTTCTTCGGCTTACGTGATGGACAGCACTTTTAATGAAACTGTACCAGTAAGATATGATGGACCTTTAAGCAAAAAGAAACCATCAGATATAAACCCCTTACAGAAATGTGATTAAATCCACAAATTTTCAGGATTCTGGATGGACTACAAGGCCATTTCAGTGACCCAAAATCTATGGCTATAACAGTGTTTTCTATAAGGAGAAATTCTACAAGGACTAAGGTACTTTCAGGGGAGCAATATTAGTTATCTTTACTCTGGAAGGATACCATGAAACCGGTTTATGCAAAATTTTAAAAAATGACCTCCACAACAAGGTGACAGACCTACCCTCTCACCTGGGTCTAAGACCCCCTAAAAATCATAACATTTATGACAGCATACACAAATTCAAAGACCTTCCCAAAGTCCTTTTTCGATAACATGAATAAACATTGTTAAACTTTTTAAACGGGAATCACAGACGCATTAAATATGCGAAGGAAATGCAAAAACATGATGCCCAACCTCATTGACTTTGAATCCTATCCATTAAAAATGAGCTGAGCTGACAAACATGACCTGTCTAAATCGCAGTATAATCATGCAAGGGCTCAGGCACAGCCCAGAATCACCAGCTACATCCATCAAACACACACCATACCAAGCGACAAAATCAGATAGCAAAATCTTAAACTGCACAGGTAGCTGACAGAGGACTAAAGATATATCAGCATAAAACAAGAAACCGAATCGGTAAGACCCTGTATATCAAACACAGGTCTTGAAGCTGCTCAGTGTATATCAGTTGCAGGTTCTTTTCCCCCCCAAAGGCTGTGCATCTGTCCACCCAGTTACCCTCATCCAATCAGGGTGGCCGTGACCTACAGGACATTCTTGTAAACAGCCGCCACAAAGCATGTTGCAGGCAGCTTGGGCTACCGATCCAGCACAGCTTTGGGCCGATTTCCTTTTCTGGCACTTAAAACTACCGCAGATCCAAAATAAAGAAAACCAACAGTATTTACAAACAAGGCCCAGGAGGGTCTTTTTCAGTCCCATGGCCCGAAGTAGTCTGAGCTTTTAAAGTTAAATCAGCTCACTCACTGAGGGGTGGAAGAGCATTACCTCACACTGCACTCTCCCCGGGATGCACGGTCACGCTACTGTCGGCGGGATGGGCAAAGAAAGGCCTTTAAAGAGGAGAGGGAGGTCCCTGAGGAGCCAATCAGAGCCACCTCCACCCCCACCCCCTCACCAGCCACCTGCGTCACGCAGGGATGCAGGAAAAGCACAAGCGGCAGCATCAGGAGTGCCGTTGCGTCAATGGCTGTTTGCTCAGCGCAGACCGTGATCGGGGGCAGAGGTGGCGCCACTCTGAAGCTGCCCTGAGTCTGTGGGCCCCCCCCCTCGACCTCCGTATTGACACTAGGGCCCCTGCCAAGGATGGGGGCTGCATGCCACTGGAACAAGAAGCTATGACAGCCACCCCCCAGTCAGCGGCTGGGGTAGAGCCAGCGTCTGCCACTGGGTTAGGGTTAAACGCCATGTTGGGTCTGGGTGCCTCAATTCACCACCAGCCCAACGCACGTTTGCCTTCAAGAGTAACAGAAATCCTACGACTGCAAAATAAAACCAATAATATTTTTTCAGCAATATTTAGAAATAAAAAGCAATGCAAGATATCCTATTAAAAGCAAGTAGCCGATTGGAGAATGGCCCAAAAGTCCCATTCGATTAAACGTTTACTGTGTTAAACGACGGCCTGAGTCTATTCTGAAGTCAAAACTTTAATCTACTTCATTCTTCAATTCTACTGTATGATATTATGATTTAAAAAAATACATTTAATACTGAAATGAAGTCCCTGTCCAAAATAATACTACACCTCTCACTACAAAGCATATTTACATACCTCACAACGTTCACCAACATCCAAATGACATGGATCTTCTCCTTCTATATCCTCGCCCCAGTAAAATCGAAGAACATTCAGTCTTCCTGACCATGTGACCCGTACCACTGACCTGTCATGGGCTGGTCCTTATGCCAAAGCCCACCTCATATAGCCAGAGGGCTGGTCCTTATCCTGAAGCCCTCCTCACAAGGCTAGAGGGTTGGTCTTCTGCTTAAAAGAAAAGACCAGTACCGTTTTCAGTTATCGTAACCACACATTTATTGTAGGTGAATTACAGGATGGATAGCATGCTATTAGCCTTGTCCTCCCCTGACCCTGTTGTGCTGCAAGACTGGGATGGTGACCAAAATCTGGATCTGTGGAATCTGCAGGACCAGCAAAGCCTCTGACTGTACTGAACCGAACCCAGAGGCGGAATTAGCCTTGACACGGCGCCAAAGCGAGCACGGAGCCTAGCATGCCTTTGACAACGTGCGTTGATGATCCTGTGTACACAGATAAGCCAAACTCTGCTTACTTTTGTAGGATAAAAGGTCACTCCAGTCAGACCCGGGTTCTATGCCCCAGACTTGGGGGTTGGTTGTCATGGTGATGGCGTAAGCCAACATGCCCAACATGGAGGGACAGCAGCAACTCAGCTTAGTCGGCAGTTAAAAATACTCCAGCAAAGAACCAGCTGCCCCTCTTGTGTCCTGTGAGATTGACTTGACAGCCAATTAAGGGACCCGAGGACGTTACTGCCTGTCCTCCTTACATTTCATATCCCAGCCTCCTAGACCAGTTTGTTACCATGGGCCCTAGACAGAACATGGGCAGAGCTCTTCATGTTTTGTGCTCAAGTTCATTGGTTAAGGGGCTGCCTGTCGTTTACAATGTAGGTACCTTCAAATCAAACTCTGAATGCAGCGCCCAGCATTACAGGCACTGCACGTATTCGTTGGACCCTCTTCTCTCACATATAGGGATACAGCTCGTCGACTTCGCAGAAGAATTCCTCCAGAAGGACCCGGTTTACTACATGAACTGCAGTTCAGCGTGAAAACACAAACGCAGCCCTCAAAATCTCCACACAGACAAATCTCCACACGCATTTGCAGATCTACTGTGGCAGAAGTGTAGCAAAAATCATGTGTAAAAAGGCAGACCTCTCAATTGGCTGTCAGTTGTAACTGATGACATCAGTATATAAAACTCTTGGAGCAAAATACTTAAAACTCTTTCAGTCATTAATACCTATGTACGCATTTACAGATTTGTCCACACACATACAAATCTCAGTACAGAATCTGATTATGCACACGGATTCGGAATACACATTTACAGATTCCTGTACACATTTGCAAATCTCAGTATGCATATACAAATTCTTTGACACACTTACAAAGCTGATTACGCAGATGCAATCCCACAACTCTCCATATACATCTGCAAATAATTTTGCTACAATAATAGCCCCATGCTAGTCTTCTCAGAGAAGGTGAGTAAGACACCTGAAAGGCTACTGCCTATGGATTCCCCGAATGGTGAACTACTCATGCATTGTCTCTAAGAGACACCATGTCCAAGCCAAGATGCTCATTGTGCCACTGAACATTAAGCCAAAGGTTAATGATCAACTTTGTAGTTGTGTCATCTGATTTGACTTGAGGTTGAGCCATGTGAGGAGAGCTATGAAGGGATCACTACTTGTTGGTAAGTTGACCATGAAACATAGCAAAGAAGCCAAACAGGCCACGAACAGCGAAATAATGCATCAGTGTTTGTTGGGCAAGTCTTCCATGCAAGCTACCTTCCTATGCTTCTTCTTCTGGGTGTTCTGCATGAGGACCATATTCAAGGCTGCATCGCAGCAGTTTCAAATGGTGGCGGCTAAGAGACAGATATCATAACGTTAAGCCTAAAACCCACTGGTGGACCGAAGCATGATGAAGCTGGAAAATGAGACCTTCAGGGAGATGTTGCACAGGGGGGTCCTGAGAACACTGATGGGTACCGACAGGCCAGAAGGCCTGCAGTAAAGCCTGTCAGAGACAACAGCATGTGTATGGGAATGGCTTGGAGAGGCCATGGAGACTGTCAGGTGGCCCCAAAGGTATTTTGGTGCTGATCAATTCTGACAATATATTTCTGAGCAGTGGAAGAAACATTTTGAAGAACTCCTTTACTCAGTGGATAAGGCTCCTCAGCAGGAGGCAGTGTTGGAAACTTCTGGTGGATCATTCACTGTTATGGTGATCAACGCCTCTTTGGTACCGTAGGAGTAGATGACATCTGTAGAAAACTTTGGACAGAACTGGTCTGACATGGTAGACGTACTTCTCAACATTGCATGGAAGGGAAATTAAGTACTTTTGGACTAAGAAGCAAGGGTGGTGGTCTTTATAAGAGGAGGACCAACAGAGGGATCACACTTCTCAGTCTCCCTGGAAAAGCCTTTGCCAGTACTGGACACGAGACTCCGCCCCATGGTCAAATCTAGGAATCGGCATGAACAATGTGGATTCCAGTCTGGCCGTGGAACTGTGGCGAAGCCCTTCTCCCTCTCTCTGTCATGTGAGGGTCTGTCGGACCCGATGGTGAACCATGTCCGGTCATCAGACTCCCTGTCCACCTTCAATCAACGCCTCTAGACCCACTGGCTCTACGAATTTCACTACCAGCATAAAGCCTCTGTTACCTAAATGTTCTTATTTTGCACTTCTGGTCATTGAACTTGGTCTTATTGGGTTCTTGTTCTTTAGAAATCGCTGCGTGATTGTTGCAGCTCCTGTTCTGATATTGCTTCCACTGTTTTGTAAGCTCTACCTAGCTGTACTTATGCCTAATTGAGAGTCCTTGACAGCATGTATGTTCGCAATGCACCATTTGTCTCACTTGTATGTCACTTTGGACAGAAGCATCACCTAAATGTGTAAATGTAAATGCAAAGGAATGGAACATGGTAACAGTCGACATGGAATTTGAGTACCTGAAGGCTGCAAATAACTGCGTGCCTCAGCACAGACGCCGAGAGGCGCTACAGGAACATGGCTGACCAGTGCTGCTGCCTCGTTTGAATGTAGCAAGGTTTGAGTCCACATACTTGGCACAAAGGGGAAACTGTTCAGAGCAGGTGGTAAGGATGCATCTTGTCTTGATTTTGGTCATTGGTTTTCGTGGACAGGACATTAGGGCATTGAACTTTTGCTCAGGGTATCGGGGCACTGAACACTTGGTAACGGTATTCCAGATGTACCTATCCATCCATGCAGTGGACTCCATATCCTGTTGTTTTAATACACATCTTCCTTTTGATTAAAACATACAATTCCAACACATTCTAACAGTTCACTCCATGCCCTTATTAAAACACAAATTCTGGAATAACAGTATTAATATTTTTCCAGTGACACTTTCCTTGGTTGCTTTTGTATGGATACAGACACTTGTAAATTTTCAAAACGACAGTATCAAGTGTTTATGTATAAATTCACAAACGTTCAGTTGGTAAGAAGTTCAGAATACGATGTCTCTTTTTAAACGCTTGGTAATACAATAACTCAGCACAAACAAACCATGCAATAACTGCTTAAATGTTCCATCCAAAAACATCTATGATATAACAGTTATTCTGGGAGGTATACTGCAACCTCAGTTCAATCGACATGTAAACATACCATGGGGGTCCTTTTGGTCAATATAAGAGTTTAAGTAAACTTGCCACTACAACCAAACAGCACTAGTTGTTTTTCGAAGTGTCTTTAATTATCGATCCAGCTATCGATCTGTTTATTGCCACGCCTTTACCAACGAGACAGGGGTCATATTTTGTAACATGGAAGATGCGATAGGACAGGTCAGTGATGTAAGTCTCCGGCCTTGACATCAAGGTAACTTCACTAAAAACAAACAGCCAGAGAGGCCAACCACAGGGAGAGAAGCACAGGCCGGCGGGCCAGTATCACAAATCAGAATTTCTCGCTTAGCTGGATAACTTGTTGGATTTAAGGTAGTCTGAGTTGAACATAAGGGAACCAAGAAAAAAATCCATTTAAACTGGAGTACCTTAAATCCAGATGGTTACCTAGCTAAGCAAGGAATACAGCTTACATCCAGATACAGGCCCCAGGTTTTCTAGCAGTGTTTGGGAGGAATGTGCCCACCTTTTCCACCTTAATAAAAGCTAAATGCAGAAACTCACAGCTCTTAACAAGTCCTGTTAAATCTGCCAACTTTTACACTTCATTTACTCAAGAACGGCCAACCAAGGACCAGTTTCACAAAAAAAGGACTGGATTTGAATGAAGAACGCATCTTTGGATGAGGGAGGAGGACGCAGGAGCATCACCATGGCAACAAGGCTAATGACACGTGGAGCCAGATTCAAACCCGTAAGCTGACAAAGTGAAAGGCAACAGCAGTACATGCTGAGGCGCTGCGTGAGCCAGTCTGAAACTGCAACTGGGCGGGTCATCTTACCACTGCATTCTTCTACTTGGGGATAAAGAGATACTATATATACATACACTAATATTATATACACCCACACAGGCATGTATATACCGAATACGCCTCACATAGCGGAAGAAGTTAACAATCTGTGCAATGTCTCAGGTTATATAACCTACACCGTTTTTAAGATCCCAGCAGTACAAATCTCACCCTGCAGCATTTAATAGCCTGGCAAGCCAGCTGCTGCACTCAGGGTATGGCCGACAGTCCATAATTTCATATAGGCCAATTTAAAAGAATTACTTAAGGGCACAATGGAAAAATAAGGAAATCGTTCAGTTCAATGGAGAACTGAAAATTATAATTTACAAGATATTTTATAGATATACTTCCTTGCAGTTTTCGGGTCTCCGTGCTAATGCAGATGAATTCAGGCTCAGTAATGACGTCTCTGTGGGCACCTGCCTTCAATTTAACGAGGCGCGCAGTTTCCCACGACTTCGGCATTCTGCTGCTACTACTGGAAACTTAATGACTCAATTAGCGAAAATATTCTAATAAAGGTCTAAGAGATTCATTAATCACTTCCACCTTGGCAGAAGCCTCCATTAACGACTCCAACCTTGAAATTAACGTAATTAAACAGCACATTGTACTGGCAACTACGTAAATAAAATTACTTTCCCTGGTTTTTAAAAACATTCAGTGAAAGTAGGTCTACCCGGTTCTCGCTCTCCAATGCATTACGCCGTCGGGTCCTGCGGCCCATCGTACAGAAAATATATTCTTATTGCACATACGATGGGCCGGAAAGAACGTCCAGCTTAGGACAATGACTTAACCGTGAAAAAATCCCATCAAGTTCAGCCCTCCCCCCCTCAAAAAAAGAGGCGAACATCAAGGTGGAGCTTCGGCAGCTGGAAACCTGATGATCAAAGAGCCATGCCTTATTTGTCTTTGAATCTTATTTACATTTCAAAGTTTAATTCATGACCAATTAAAGCCCAGCGTTAAAACATCTTTAAGAATCCGTGCAATTTCACTTCCTTTGAATGTTTCACGCAATTTCTGCGCCTTCCTGAGTTATTTTCTTCTGCTATGTCCAGACATTGGTTGAAGTTGTAAATTAATTTAACGCCACTTCGACGACTGCAAAACTCCTCCGGACTTTTGCAATACGATTTAAACAAATATGAGCAAAGTTTTATAAAACTTCAGACAAACAGACCATAACGACTTTGATAAGCTTATCAAAATGCGCAAAAAGCAAGAAAAATATTAACCAAGCTACAAACGGATGTAAGACAAACAAATGTTTTTACCATTCAATTTAAGATAAATTTACATCCAAGTATACCACAATATTTTTAAGTAGTCAAACAGTTACGAGATAATTATCTTCCAGATTAAAGTAAACGGTCATATTACATCAGGGAGTCTATTTTGGTGAAGTCTATTTTTCAGCCCTATTTGCATATTACGCAAAGTCATATTCACTGTACTCTGCTGTAAAGACGCGCCGATAAGGCGTGTTTTCTTACTCAGAGACGAAGTGTTTACTTTAAGGACAAAGCACATTTTCAACGGCGAGCGTGCAAATGGACCCACCTTATTTTGGCACTGCGGGCGGGAGGAGTAGCAGGAATGGCCGAACTACGGCTGCACGACCAGGACCCATAAAACGGCACTTAAATAGAGAGGAAATTTCCACCCTGTGACGTTTAAAAAGTACTACTGCGTTACTTTTGCGAGTAACACCACAAATTACCAAGGGACTGCCTCCTGAAACCCAGTAGACCTATCGATTACAAAATATATTTAAACTTAAAATAGTTTACAATCATTATTTTAATTTTATTCTTTTTTTTTAATTGCGGACACTTGAACATGGCATGCAGCTACTACGGATTATGCTGGGATGTCTTGTGTATATATACATACAGACATACATATATACATAAATATAGACATAGTACATATAAACATATATATGCATTTGATTGTTATAATTACAACTAACGGTAGCGCAAAAAGCTAAAATAGCCTATTAACTCATCAGGACATTCTTTAATGGTCATCTGTCTGAGAAGATCCAGTGCGCCATCCCACAACTCATTAACTCCAACCTAATCACACAGTATATTAACGACACTAAAACGAACTTTATAAAGCCTGTGATATGAAGCATCCCCGCCATTGATCACTAGATGGCGTTATAATTCACCACAACATGCATTGACCGCATATGTCACCATCTCATAATTAAGACCGTTCTCAGTCTGTTCTGTTGTTTTTTAATAATGAGAATCCTGCAATTTGGAGGCATGACTAGGATACTGGCACCTATGTGTATGTGCCCTGGTCCCAACAAATCACACAGCAGAACTTTAAACATCCCACCTGGAAGTACATCACCTTAGACTCCCTTACACCTTCACCACTCTGAAAAGTAAAGGCACAGAAAATACATACCATGAAATCGGCGTAAATATTCATTTTTGATTTATTCATAAAACAATGTCCAGTTTCCCAAACACCCCTATGTGTTACTCCCATAGAGCTTAATAATATTCAGTTACCAGATTTCTACTGCATGTTGTTTCTATATGCAAGTGACATTCTTTTATACTGATTAAATGCACATTATGTACATCTTAAATTGGTTTAAAGTGGGGAAAAAATTAATACTGTTAATGTCAGGTGTCAGTCTCAGTCATCCTGCAGCTTAGGGGGTCAGGTGACAGTTTACGTCATTTTGCAATCCAGAGGTCAGGTGTCAGTCGCAGTCAGGCCTGGATTGGCCATCTGGTATACCAGGCATTTTCTGGCAAAATTTATATTTATATTTATGATATCCCCACCCCCCATCAGCAGAATATATCATGTGCAAGTATGTGCAAAGTCCAGGGCCGGTTATTAGTCCCGGTCCAAGCCTGGTCTCAGTCACTTTCCACTCCAGGGTTACGTAGCAGCATTTTTGTGTATGTGTAACTGCAAACAAAATATACAACAGCTAATATTTGAAATCAGAAGTTGCTCTTTCCAGTCAATTCCCTGTGTTTGTGCGCACATATAACACGCACGGTTTTCTGCGCACATATAACACGCTTGGTTTTCTATTCATGGAGAGAAACTCATCAGGACACGAAAAAGAGTTTTGTGCTAAAACATGAAGAACACCATTCATACTAACGCTGAAAGGAAGAGCTTGTTTTTGATCTGATCTGTGGAGTGAGTAGATATCAGGTGTCCAGCTCATATTTTTTCTTCTTTTTTTTTTGGGGTGGGGGGGTGGGGTGAGTTTCCCTGAACCCCCCAGGAGAGGGTTAAATTTGTCCCCAGCGATCAGCAGCTGAGTAACAGGTGGCCACTAGGTGCAGCTCACTGATTAGCTGTCAATCACTCGAATGGCCACAGGGGGCGACGCCTGATCTCATGCAGCCTCTGAAATAACTAAACTCAAAGACATCAGGTCCCTGCTGAATCTGTTTAATAAACACTATTTATAGATGCAGCGAGCGTTACGAACAATGTCATCTCATCATTTCACCCTGACGGAAACTGAAAACAGATCAAAATTAAACATTGCACAGCGGCATGATTCACACGACGGGAAGTGTGACTCTGAAAATGGCACTGTAAATCCCTACTGCACAGCATACAGAGTTCATAACGCGGGCTTTAACTTTAAAAAATGTCTCCTAAAGCAAAGCTCTTACGCCGAGTGTTTTTGACATTTGGTCACATGGGCGCATCTACGTTTGATAAATTCAAGAGCACGAACTGTCTTCGTGTTACTGAAGCGATGTTTGTACCGCAGTAACAATGCTTGTCAGGGGCGTAGGAACCTGGAGGGATGGGGAGGACGTGTATCCAACCAATATTTAATTTGGCTTCTTTTGCCACACACACACACACACACACACCCCCGGCTCCAACAAATAGACCTTTACATTTAAATTATTAAGTCATGTCCTCCCCCATATCAAGCTCTCTCTTTTGCACTAGGTGCTTATAAATTAATAGTGTGTGGACAGATTTACTTTTGGCGTTTTGGGAAAATATCTCAGTATAGAATCAGCTATAGTTTTGCACAGTGCCAGGGCCTTTAAAATTTGATTGATAACACACAAAAACAACTACCAGAAATTAGGGAGAGAAAAAAAGTGCAAACGTGAGCTTAATTGACTGAGTACATTTAAAGTAACAATAAGAACATTGATGACAATGATACCTATTAGATAGTTCGACAAAAAACAACCTTCCCAGCTTCACAGAGATAGCTAGGAATCATGGGTATTCACTGTCCCGCCCAGGGCATCGTCCATCGGACCTGCGCTGATCCCTTGGGTGTAAGAAGCATTTCCATCATCGGGCAGAGTAAAAACGACTCCCACCACGGGGCTACCCGTTCTGCTAGTATGTGTATCGCCCTCCGTCTCATAGCGGGTACCGCCCCAAACGTTGGCATGGTTCCTAGCCAGGCGTGACGCCTTCTTGTCCTTGCACCAGTAGTGGCACGGAGTCAGGTAGAGGTAGAGCAAAACCAGTACGAGGCTGGTTCCGCAGGATGCCAGTGTGGTCAAGGCTGTGCTGAAGGTCTGGTCATTAGGATCCCGCTCCCTCACAACTACCTCCACGGTGCGGCTCAGATTCCCCATGGACATGAAAGTAATGCAGGTGTAGGTCCCAGAATCCTCGGGACGGGCCGCCGTGAGCAGCAAGCTGCCATTGGGATAGACGCGCAGCGCCTCTGTGTGGTCACCGGGCCACAGCACACTCTGGGCAGGTGTGAGCCACAGCAGGGGCTCGTGTAGCTGAGCAGGGGCAGAGTCACCACAGTGCAGGATGAGGGTGTCGCCCACGTGCACTTTGGACACGCCCCTTTCGTAGTCCAGGGGCGCATCCATGACTCGGCCTGAGCAGTTGAGGGGCAACGGGCTTACGGCCGTGCCAAAGCCAGAAAGGAAACACGTGTAATCGCCACGGAAATCAATGACAGGAAGGAAGCTCCGTCTGGCCCAGTACCAGAGCAGGGCGTGCAGTGCACAGTCACACACCAGTGGGTTCCCATGGAGATAAATTCCAGCCTGTTGCCTGGATGGCAGAGACATGATGTCATGAACCGGAACTCCTGTGAGTAAGTTATTGGACAGGTCCAAGAATTCCAAGTGTGGAAGACTGAGTTTTCCCACCAGAATCCCGGTAGGGAACTCGGTGAGCCGGTTCCAGCTCAGGTACACCCTGTGGAGACTGTGGAGTCCAGCGAAACTCTGAGGGCTAATTTCCGAGATCTGGTTGTTAAACAGCAGCAGCACCTCCAGATGCTGGAGCTCACAGAACGTCAACGCGCTCAGGCTTCTCAGTCTGTTGGAGGACAAGTCCGCATATCGGAGGATGGGCAGCCGGCACAGGGAGCCAGGAGACAAGTGGCTGATGACATTATGGCTCAGAATCAACGTATCCAGCTTGGCCAGGGGCACGGGGGTCCACTCTGCGTCGAGCACAGAAATCTGGTTGTAGCTGAGGTCCAGCCTGGAGGCAAAGGTCAGGCCGTGCATGGAAACGGAAGAGATGTTGCGGCCGCTGCAGGCGACCACATCTCCAGCACACAGACAGGCACTGAGGCAGCCCTGCATGTCACTGTGGACCAGGCACATGCAGCAGAGCAGCCCCAAGGCCACACCCACCCTCCTGCAGAGCAGCTTCTGAGCCCCCTGGGGGCATGAGTGCAGCCAAGCTGGCAGCATAGTGCACCCCCACCTGATCGTCCTCCCCCTCACAGTGCTCCAGCTGAGTGATAACTAGAAGGAGTACAGGGAAAAAAGCCAATTCATATTTTATTTTCTTTGCTATACAATATTGCTATTTAATTATTACATGCATGTATAACTAACGTTGCTTTAATACAATAACAGGTAAACACATTGCACTTTAATAAAAACCCATATTCAGATAACTAGCGTCTTGGTTAACTTTAAACATCCATTAACTAACGCGGAAAAAATACAAACAAAACGTACCGTTGCCTTTATGATCCTGATCCCTTCAGGAAAAGTTTCTCTTCGCCCGATGTTTCAAAGCAGGTCCTCTCAGCGCTGTGAAGGGAGTATTAAATGAACACAATAAGCCCCTGATTCGACTGATGCCTCGGACGTACAAATAGCACATAAACCGATGAAGTTGGAGGGCGGTTTGAAGTGCACTTCGCAATTTGTTCTGTTCACTCTGCTATTAGGGAGGCACCGGTGCTCCGTGTCGGCACTTCGCTCCGCCCGTTCCGGATCGGTTCGGTGCGGCTCGGCTGCGCTCAGATCACCGGTGTCTGGCGGATGGCCCCGCTGCTTTAAGGGGGGAAGCTGCTGTACGTCTGAAGTGCTCTTAAATCATACTGGAACCTGGAGATCAAAAATGATACTGACCAAAATCGGCATGTTGCCGGCACGGGTAGCAGTCCTCCGCAAAATTTTCTCCAAAATGCAGTGTTATTATTTATAAAGGAGAGGCTTTTGTTGCGCGATTGCCCGCCGCCTGATTGAGCATTTAGCGTGCTGGGTTTTCATGCAATTACCGTGCTTAAGTACAGCATCGACTGGGAGGCGGTTCTCCCGTGAATATCCAACGACAATCATAATGTTTTCTCACTTAAATGATAGAAAAACATGAATCTTTTATTACTCACTTAATTATGATATTTACTTCAGAAATCACGTCAATTTTAACCCATTTTAGTTTTACTACGAACTGGACAGTGGTTATAATGTCGATTAAACAATAAAAAGACTCGAAACAAAGTCTCCTATATACTGGCGTCTGGATTCACAAGGTCCTTTAGAAGAGGAACGTTTAAATTCTGTCACAAATCTATTACAAACAGACGAACAATAATACCTATTTAATAATATAAGCCGTAATTACATTTGCGCAGTGCGATTTGGGGGTTAAAAAAGATAAGGACTGATAACAGCGAGTCGAATCTGGCTGATAATACCTTAACATGCTAAAGGTACGGAAACGCAAATATTCCGGATGTAAGTTTTTACGTCATGAATATTTCTTTTTTAATTTACCAGGTTAGTAAAACAATCGATTGTAGCTGGACAGAGGTACTCAACCTGAAATGTCACTTGGAAATTAAGATAAGTAATAAATTAGCAAGTATGTAAATCCTTTTGGATAAAAGCGTCAATTACACAGTGATAATAATAACAATTCATGTTTTATCTCTGGTGGTCATGGTCTTTACTCACAAGCCTGTATATAATCATCATGACTCATCCAACGCAATCAAGTTCTCTATTCTCTGGAGTGGCACCATGGACATAAATTATGGGAGTGGGGGGGAGTTGTAACCCCCCCCCCCCCCCAAATAATCAAAACCAGCCAATACAACCCCTGGGGGGCCCTTAAATGGGTGGAGACCTCAACCCTCCCGATGTTCAATCCAAAGTTATACCCTTTGATAGCACTGTATGTTCTTCTGAAGGTAACACAGAAGAACATGTAGGATGACCATGGAGAACCTCGTCATATAACAGCCTTACCGGGTGCCTGTAAGCTGGATGGTCCTACATACCTGTGTCAGCTTCTCATGCCTTAAATGCAGATCTTCATATGCTGCCCCAGGATCTCCAGCAAATGGAAAATAGCTTGTAAATCATGGTACATCTTCACTTTGTCCTTAATACAGAAAGTGCAATGTTGGGTGACCGGGCGGCACAAGGGACAGTCTAGTTACTGGCAGGACCCCCCAGTGCCTGGACAGAACGGTCCTCTGCCGAAAAAGTCTCTCATTCAAGCCCCAAACTCACTGCCACGATACTTAATACAGCAGCTTGAATATTTTTAGGGACAAGTTGCCTTTGGACGTCTGATTTTTAAGCGTGTGATGTGTTCTGTGTGAATTTCTCTGTCACTGCACCCCCACCGAGCCTGCTGGCTGTCACCGATGTCCCTACGTCACCGACAGAAACCAAAATCTCATCGACTGCGTCTGCGGTTTGCCTCATAAGAACACAGAAACGCCCCATCTTTAGGACTCGCTCTGCGGCTCGAAGCCCACTCCATCCATCAGCATTAATGTCAGCCAATCACTTGGACTTCTGCTCCAAGGTTTAATTAATTCATTTCTTCATTCATTCAGGTGTCCTGAGGGCCGAAACGGGAGGAGTGCGGCACCCCGTGTTCTCCACAGTGCTGTTAAAGTTCACTGAGCTCCTTTGGAGATAGGAAGGGACAGATTCTGCCTTTTTTGTGTGTGTTGTCATGGCGACATGTCACTGTCAGCAGTTCACTGCCTGGGGGTGGGGCGGCTTCACAGGTAACACCTCAAACACCAATCTGATTGCTCCATCTAGGTTAATCATTCACAGTCCAATCACAGTCTTGGTGTTAAACATGCAAATTAAATGTTTAATAAGTGTGAATACAGTTTTAAGCTGCAAGACAATACCAGATGTAATGCTCAGAATAGCATTAATATTTACACTATTTAATCTATTCATGAACCCGGGGCCTATTCCTAGGTGACATGTTCTTAATTCCAACATATTGCCAATTAACTAGCTAATTTAAATAATTTGGTCCTTTATTGCATTGAAATAGAGGGGCCAGCTTTCTGTTACATTTTTAGTATGTAATCATAGCCTAAAGTAAATTAGAATGGTCAGGTCAGGTTGGGGGACGCACACTGGTGCAGCATGTTGCCACATCCACCACTCAATGACACACTTCGGGTGTTTGCAGTTGGCAACCCCCCCAGGCCGACACTCGGTCCAGTCCCACCCTCTGGAAATGGCCATATATCTGTCGGATATTACGTGGCCGTCCACTTGGCCTGGTGCAGCCGCTCGCGAGCCGGACCGCCCTCAGGGAAATGCGCCACATGGCCGTAGTGTCATAACTGACGCTCCCTCACAATGCAGGTAATGTGCCTCTTTCGGGCCTCTCTGAGCAGCTGTCGATCAACAGCAAGGCAAAAGAGCGGGACCCAAGGATTCTCTGAAAAGACAAGGTACCAAAGGAGTCCGGACTTCCTCTCAGATCACTGGATAACGTCCATGTCTAGCAACCATATAGCAAAACAGGGAGCTCATAACTATAGACAATAGATGGTATTTTATGAGAGTTCTCTGAAAATGGACAAATATTGCCTTATGCAAACTGACAGGAGTAAATCAAGTTTTCAGTTTTGTTTTTAGCTTAAAAATAATGACGCGCGGCATTGCTGACCGTATATTGTTGTATTACTCAGGAAATGCTGCACCTGGTCTATAAGGATAATGGAGTTTTTTTCTGAGCAAAGTTCATGGGTGAAAAGTTACCAATTAGCAGCATGTCTGCATGGCTGTCACCTGACTATCGAGGGCTGCCTTTTGGATCTTAGCTTCCTGAGACGGGAGTGAGAGATGAGAAAGGAGCCATCTGCTCAGCATCGGCACGGCTGCCATTGCCAGGCGAGTATGGCGGAGCTCGCTGAATGCCAGTGAGGACCTGCGACTAGCTCTTACTGAAGGAAGCTGGTCTTACTGGGCGATGCAAACTGGGCTTGATGAGACGTGTTGCTTCGTTACTTTACAACCAGCAGTAGTTCACTTATCTACCCAATGCATACGGCATCACAGTGCTCTGGCACTATCTGTAGTGTTGGTATGACCTTTGACCTGGACTTTCGACTTCTCTGCACAAACAGAACTGCCTTAGCTCACTGTTTTTGTGGCTAGTTCACCGGAGGCTGTGCCACTGTTGTAACCATGAGGTAATTTAGAAGCAATAGGTTTCTACTCCACTTCCGAGGCCCAGAATCAAAAATCACTGTCTTTCCCAAGGATGGACATGGCAGAAAAAGGAACGGACTATCCATCGGTGCCCTGGACACAGATCAGCAACAGTGAGGTACCAGCAGCAGGTGAGGAAAGCAGTCGAATGGTGTATTTCTATTAAAACGCAAATAGACTCAGTACACTTGATAACCTTACACATTGGAGCAGTGACTCCCTACTCCATGTGATGCTATATGCTGGAGCAGTGACTCCCTACTCTGTGCGATATCATACTATGGAGCAGTGACTCCCTACTCCGTGAGATACCGCACTCTGGAGTAATGACTCCCTACTCCGTGCAATACCATACTCTGGAGCAGTGACTCCCTACTCCGTGCGATTCCACACTCTGGAGCAGTGGCTCCTTACTCTATGCGTTACCACACTCTGGAGCAGTGGCTCCTTACTCCTTGTGACACTACACTTTGGAGCAGTGACTCCGTACTCCGTGTGATACCGCACTCTGGAGCAGTGGCTCCTTACTCTATGCATTACCACACTCTGGAGCAGTGACTCCGTACTCCGTGTGATACCACACTCTGGAGCAGTGGCTCCGTACTCCATGTGATATCGCACTGTGGAGCAGTGGGTCCTTACTCTATGCGTTACCAGACTCTGGAGCAGTGGCTCCTTACTCCGTGTGACACTACACTCTGGAGCAGTGACTCCCTACTCTGTGTAGCTCCACACAGTACAGCAGTGATTCCGTTTTCTTTTTAATGCAACACATTAGAGCAGTGACTAAAACATGCCAGCAATTTTTCTAGATAATTTTTAAAAAACTACTTTTATTATTATTAAAATATATTCTGTAGTAGAAACCAGCTTTGAGGGAGCAGGTTGTTAGAGAGCAGAATAACCTGTACGGTGTAATTAAATGCTGTCCCAATTTCTATGAATTATTAATTTTCTTAACAGATGACATTATCCAGAGTGCAGCGGCAAATGCCGTACAGTGTAACGGGCAGCTTGGCACACTGGCTACCAGCAGGCTGTCCACATAAAAGATAATGGCTAAGAAAGAGCCCTAATCTCCGTAATCATCAGCAAAGCCTCATTTGCACTAAAATTGAATATGCATCCTGGGCATAATCTTGAAACAGTGTGAAGCACATGGTGCACACAAATGATCAGCATTAGGAAAATATTTAACTGCTGTATTTCTCCTGAGATGTTGGGGTCCACTTGGACTGACATCTCTGTCCCCCGGGCCCAGTGTCTACGTGGATCCTCCTGCTAGGCGTGGCCACCTTTCTCATGCAGCTTGGCCTGGTCCTGGCTCTGATCTTCTGGTGCTGGAGGCAGGATAGGAGGCGACGGCCGGGCGACCCGGTCAAAGGCAAAGCGGCAGCTGCAGGTACAGGCCGGGTTGGGTGGTTCTGCCCGGTTTACATGCAGCGGCAGGGGGCATGAAGGACGACGCGGCTCCGTTAGCTAGCCCCCGGCCTAGCATAAATACAAACAATGTTCAGTCAGCAAGGTAAAAACAGCTGTGTATTCATTATCTGTCCTGACTGGCTTGCAGGCACCGCATTTCACCAAACTGGGCCATGGGGGCAGTACTCAGACCCTGCTATGGGGGGCATATATAACCTCCTGCCGGAGACTAGCCGGACAGCTGGAACAGACAGCCAATGGGATTTCAAGAGAGGTCATTTCCCTCCCTGGGATCTGGTGCAGTCCCCATAAAGGAAGATGACATTGGCTCAATTGATTATTAATGTCTGCAGAGCGATAAGATTGAAGCCGGCTTACTGATTATCAATGTTTAATAGGTGGCCCATAATGCACCAGTAACAGGCAGCCTCATCAATTACAGATAGATGGCCTTTTCGCAGGGGAGTCTGCTTGGTAATGATCAAGATTTATTACTCTGGGCAAATGCTGCAGTAACACCTGCTGTTTTCTTGTGTGTCGTTTAAGTTAGCTGAAGATGCACTGGATTTTTTAGCGAGCCACTGTACCGAAGAAAGTATATAAAAAATGTACCTGAAACGAGCAAAACAATTCAAATGTTTTATAAAAGTTAAATTGTTGCCAGCTATAGACCTGCAATTCTGGCATACCCAGAATGAAAGACAAATTACCTAGTGAGGGAGATGGGTCAGCTGCTGGGGGAGTTAGAAGTAGCTGTTGGTTCAAATTGTAATAATATAACCTGTTATCTTCTATTCTTAAAACAAAAAGTAGTGCTGTACTGATGTAACACCATGAGTGACCTGTAGGGGGCAGCATCCGTCCTGCTCCCTGTGGGAGCTCAATAGAGAATATCTTTTCCCAGTGTTATTTTTGCACATTCTTTTAAATAAATATAATTCTGCGAGTCTAGCTGGCTCCTTTAATGTTGAGATGACAGCACACATCCATATGTGAATCTGACAAATAGGCATCACCAGCAGCGACGTGTCCAGAGTCTATAAGCTCAGCAGGTCCAAACCTCTCATTTTGGGGCTGGTTCCTCAGGGCAATATAAAGCCAGGCAGGAATTAATACAGAGCCTTCCTATTGCAAAAATACTGAGTGATTTCATTCATTTTTTTGTATGTCAGTTGCTCCTGTACCATCTAAAGAACAATTGTAGCGTTACCTGTGCCACAGAGAAGTATACATTTGCCCACAAGAGGGAGACTGAGACTATATCCGAAAGTGTAATGATGGAAGATAGTTAGCTCCTCCCAGCTTTCCTTTAGCTCGTCCAATCAGAGCAGGTTACAATGGGACCATCAGATCCATTGGATCAGTGGAAAAGACAGTGGGCAGGGCCTGTTAATTTGCGGAATGGCAGCTCATGGGTAGGGGGCGGGGGCATTAATAGGACAGTGTTTCCATGGCAATGGCAGTTCATAGAATACTTCTAGCAGAGTGCAATGAAAACAGGGCGGAGTTTTCCCTTCACATAGGCCATGCAAGGAGCTGAGCGTGACAATGGAAGGGCAGCCACTCTACATCGATCCAAGTCCTCATGAGTCATATTCCTGCCACTTGCTGACCATTTCATTACTAGATAAGAGAGAAGATTAATATTCACACCGGAGCAGAAATGGAACAGCTACCAAGATTAACATATGATGTCAAAATCACAGTTAGGTCCTCGTGTCTCCATAGAGTCTGCTGACGTACAGATTATGCAGCTTGATTGTTGGCTCCTCACCTGGGTCAGGTATGAAATACATCTGTAGCTGGTTTGCAACCAGGAAAACTCCCAGTTTAATGTGTGAGATAATTCCACATTGAAGGTGCACTGAGTTCTATCATGCCATTTATATTGGGGTGAATATCAGGTCAAAGCACTGCGCTGGGCAACACAGTTTGATGAAACAACTAACAGATATGAGGGGCAATCTATAGGGAGGCCTGACCGGTCTATAGACA